CTGTCAAATAAATAAAATAAAATAAAATAAATTTATAAAAAAAGAAATCCATAATGACATGGATTAAAAACTTTCCCATGAGATTGAGATTTTGAAGAGGAATTAAACTGAAACATTAGAAATGAAGAATTCAATATGCCAAATACAAAGTATAGCAAAAAGCTATATTTGGATCTCCTTTTCTTTCTCCAAATTAGGGAAATTTTCCATTATTATTTCACTGAATAGGCCAGAACTTCAGAAACTACTAAGACTCATAAGTTGGCTCATTTGATAGTATACCATAAGTTTGCAATATGGCAGAAAGCCTTAATAACAGACTCGGTGAAAGCAGTAGAAAGAATATCCAAGCTAGAAAACAAATCTTCAGAAATATCTCAGAACAAAAAAAGAAATTAGAAAAATTAAAAACAATGTTGGAGATTTGTTAAAGTCTATTTTGTCTGATATTAGCATGGGTACACCTGCTCATTTTTGCTTTCCATTAGCATGGACTATCTTTTTTCCATCCTTGCACTTTTAGTCTGTGTGTATCTTTGTTGGTGATCTGTATTTCTTATAGGCAGCAAGTAGAGTAGATGGGGGTTATTTTTATCGCATTCAACTCATCGGTACGGGGTACTTCGGGAATTTAACGTGGTATGTGTCTTGGGAGAGGGAGCCTGGGTCGGCCTCCAGCCCCGCGCTGGGAGGTGCAGGGGAGGAGGGCTGGGGGGGTTGGGGGCTGTACATAGAGAGCTCTGTTGGGGGACAGCAGGCGGGGCGACCTGGCCTCAGCTGCTCGTGTGAGGGCTAGGAAGGGAGGGGGCGTTCTCTGCGGACCCCTGGGAGGGGAGGGTGCTGCTTGCCACCTCTGGGCCATGCCGTCCCGGGGCTGGTGCCGGGGCAGTTCTGGGGGGCTGGGGGCGAATGGGGATGGGGCCGTGGCAAGCAACAGCAAATACACAAGTGGTGAGGGAAACACGTGTGTGTGTTTCTGTGGGGGCGGGGGCGGGGGTGGGAGGCAGGGTGGCCAAATCAGACGCGGTGAAGAAAGTGTACAAACTTTATTGGAGCGCACACACATGTACACACACACACACACACACACCCCTGTGGAAAAGGGACAGCACCTGACCACAGGGTCCACAGAAATCGGGGGAGGGGATGGCAGCTTGTTTGGTGGCTTCTGCCCCAGCCCCCCTTCTGACAGGATCCCGGGTGGGGAGAGCTGGGTGGAGGAAGAGGCGCTGGGGAGGCCTGAGCAGTGGGCACCCTCCGGGCAGGACCCCGAGGGCTGCCAAGTGTTTCCGGTCCTCAGTCCCTCACAACAGCTGCTGGGGCGCCAGCTCTCTCGGTGGGGCGTCCCAGCGCAGGTTCCCCCAGCGCACACACTTGGTGCCCTTGGCCTTACAGTGGAAGCCGGCGGGACAGCAGTGCTGCCGGTCTGCACAGCAGGAGCCCTGGGCGGTCAGAGAGAGGGCGACAGGGTTAGACGGGGCGGGCCCTGGTGGGCACCCAAACCCAGCCCCAGGGGTGGGGGTGGCGCTGACCTGGGGGTAGGGACAGCAGGCCCAGCCGCCTTGGCGGTCCCGGCAGCACGTCTGGTTATCGTGGCAGAAGCGTCCTTGCCCACACGCCACGTCCCGCACACCCTCGCGCGGGCCGGGCAGCAGGAGTGCCGCCGCGGCATGGGCGGCCTCCACCTCCTTCTCGCAGGACCGGGCCTTCACGTTGCACGTGTAGCCGGCCGGGCAGCAGTGCTGGCGGTCCTCACAGCACACGGCCTGCGGCGACAGAACGGCATGACGTCCCTGTCCCCACGCGGGCCGCAGCCTCCCCAGCCTGGGGTGGGCAGGCGGGCACTCACATGGGGCAGCTGGCAGCAGGCCCAGCCCCCGCCGAGGCTCGGGCAGCAGGTCTGCCCCACCGGGCAGCTGGTGTGCTGGTCACAGCCGATGTCCCGGGGGTGGGACAGGGACGCCTGGCGGGCAGGCGTCTTCTGCAGCCCGGCCACCGTCTCGTTCTGCCGCCGACACCGCCCCTCGGCCGTGCACGTGTGGCCCTGCGGGCAGCAGTGCTGGTGGTCCTGACAGCAGACGGCCTGGGGGGCGGGCAGGAAAGGGTGGTCCAGGGAGCTACCACGGGGGACATGGTGGCCCCAGCCACCTCTCCTGCTCACAGCCCCTCCGGCTGGGGAGAGCTCAGCTGGGTGCTGCCGTGGCCTAGGCAGAGGGCAGGAAGAGGCAACACGAGCCTGGCCACCCACTGGCCCAGGCCAAGACACCATCCCCGCCCCCACAGCCACACTGTACCGCTGGGACAGGACAGCAGCCCCACTGAGCCTGGCCACCCACTGGCCCAGGCCAAGACACCGTCCCCGCCCCCAGGCCACACTGTACCGCTGGGACAGGACAGCAGCCCCACTGCCCCGACGCGAGCTGGCAGCAGGTGCTGAAGACGGGGCAGCTGGCGAGGTGATCACAGGGGACCCCGCTCCTCCAGGCTGGGGGCTCTGGCACGCTCACGGGGGCTGGGACCTTCTCCATCCACGGCACCTGGCGGGGCCCCAGCTCACAGGTGCCTTTCTCCGTGTGACACTTAAAGCCCTCTGGACAGCAGTGTATGTGGTCCTCACAGCACACAGCCTGGAGTGGACGGACAAGGGCCAGCAGTGACAGGGGCCTAGCTGAATGCCACCCTCCGGCTCGGCCCAGCCCGCCCACTGCTCCTCGGTACCTGCGTGAAGGGGCAGCAGCCCCAGGCCCCTGACGCTAGGCGGCAGCAGGTGTAGCCATCCGGGCAGCTCACCTCCTGGTCGCACTTGACATCCTGCACTGCGGGCACACAGGACAGGTCAGCAGTGGCCCTGGCGACCCTGCGGTGCCCGCCTTTGCCAGCTGCACAGACAGCGCCACCCCACAGTGATCCTGGGGCAGGGCCCAGTGTGGAGGGAAGGGGCTGCACCTGGCTGGCCCCTCCACGTGGCCACAGCACCCCACCCCAGGAACAGCTTGGGAGAGCCCCTGTTTGTGGGGCAGGGGACTGAGGTCTGGGGCCTGCCTGTTACCTGTGCGTGCCGGCAGCTTCGTGAGCAGCTCTGTAGCGTTCTCCTTGGAGAGGCATTTACTCTGGACCAGGTCGCACACGGTGTCCTGGGGACAGCAGTGCTGGTGATCGGAGCAGCAGATGGCCTGGGTGGGGACGAGGGTGTATCTTGGTGACTGCCAGCTTGTACGGAGCACAGGGAGCAGACAGGCTGAGGGCTGGCACTGTCTCCAGTCTCCACTAGGGGGCAGCATGAGTCCTGAGTCCCTCGGGCTCCCTGCAACCACGGAGGCCAGCCCCAGCCCTGGAGACCCCGGGCAAGTAGCCCGTGCAGCCAGCTGGCCGTGAGTACGCGGCCCCTCACTCACATTGGGCATTGGACAGCAGCCGTACTTCCCACTGGGCAGCTCACAGCAGGTAGAGTCGTCAGGGCACCGGGAGCGTCCGTCAGGGCACAGGACGGAGGTGGGCGAAGCCACTAACGGCACTGGAGGAGGAGCCAGGTGTGAGGGGGCCCAGACCGGGCGCTTTCTCCAGCAGGGCCTCCCATGGTGCCCCGCTGCTCCTCACCTAGGCTGTTGGTCCTCCGTGCAGGGGTCTTCTTGGCCAGCGGCTGGGTGCCTGTGGCCATGATGCAGCGGGTATGAGCCAGGTCACAGACGGCGCCATGGGGGCAGCAGTGTACCCTGTCCTCACAGCAAGATGCCTGAGAAGAGACGGTCCCGATGGGCCTCTGCTCCCACCCAGCCCCCTCCCGGCCCCCTCCCAGCCCCCTCCCAGACCTGTACCTCGGGCATAGGGCAGCAGCCCCAGGAGCCGTCCAACATGACGCAGCACGTGGAGGAGTCTGGGCATTGGAACTGGCTCCCGGGGCACTGGACAGCTCCCAGGGAGTTGTTAGCTGTGGACAGGTAACAAGCAAGCCCCTCAGCGAAGGGCCTTCCCCCGCCCCTCACGAGGACACGCAGGCCCAGTGATCTCCCAGGCTCCCCCATACACCCCTGCCCCCCGAAGCCAGTCCCTGCCCCAGCAAGATGACATAGGGCAGGGCAGCCACAGACAGCAGGTCGGCATTCAAACAGTACGGCCCCCGCCCGCCCCGCCCCGCCCCGCCCCGCAGTGCCTGCAGCTGGGCCTGGAGCCCCGCATTCTCTCCTGCCCCTCCTCTCGCCCCCTCTGCCCAGAGCAGTCAGGGAGGTCGCATAGGGCAGATGCCGCATGACGAGGACACGAGGGCAAGACACAGGGCCACTCCGCTGGCCGGGCTCCGGGCCCACCGGCCCTCCCCTGTGCCCCTGCCGCACCTGCCGCCCGGAAGCAGGCTCGCCCATCCGCGCTGCAGTGGAAGCCCCGAGGGCAGCAGTGACGGCCATCCGCGCAGGACACAGCCTGTGGGACACAGAGGCGCCTGCGTCGGGATGGCCCTCCTACCCGAGGGGGCGGGGGGCGGGAGGCAGGCAGGCAAAGTGCAAAGGCAGCTCCGAGCCCCTCCACTGCATAAGCGGTGCCCTCACCTCCGGAAAGGGGCAGCAGCTGGAGGTGCCCGAGACGGTGAGGACGCAGGAGGCGCCGTGGGTGCAGTGGGCACCCACCTGGCAGGGTCTGCCCAGACGCCTGCTCAGTGTCGGGGGCCATTTGTCCTGCAAAGAGAGGCCAGAGAATAGACCGAAGGCCTCTGCCCGCCTTGGGAAGGCTCTTAGCCGGGCACTCACCGGCACGTGGCTGCAGCAGCTGTAGCCGGCTCCTCCAGGGTCCAGGCAGCAGGCCTCGGGGCAGCGCTGACCGTCGGGGCACTGTGTTCCAGCGACCAGCCCTGCCATGACGGCCACCCAGCTCACCAGGGCCCACATGGTCTGCCTGCGAACACCAACGGGCACCTGTCAACCAGCTGAAGTCCAGGCCGCCTCAGAGTCTGAAGCCGCTCGCTCAGGCAGCCCCAGGCCGACGTCCAGGCCCGGGAGACCTGGAGCCTGCCTCCCAGCTCCGTCCCGACGCAGAAACGTGTGGCTCGGACGCAGCTTCCTCCCTGTGTGTCATTGCATGTTCCAAGCACGTGACACTCCTGCGTCTCCGTGTGCGAGTGTGCAGACGCGGGCTTGTGAGACGCAGTGTGGATTCTGTGGATGTGATGTGTGGAGACGTGGGCCACCTCGGGGGGGGGGGCTCAGGGCCAGGGGAGAGGATGGGGCTGGGGTACAGGAGGGGCTTCTCCAGGAACATCCAAGGCTCCCCACTCCTCAGCCAGTCCTCCCAACGCTGCACCCACACCTGCCCTTGCTGTGGTCTCGCAGGGCCCAGTGGTCACTTCCTGACACGGACGCCACAGGGTTAAGAAAAGTTGTGAAACAGGAAGTGGCAGCCAGTGGAGACTCGGGTGTCTTCCCCAGGGCTCCCTCACTGCTGCCCGCGGCGGTCCCCACCCCACCCAGGACAGGAGACACGGAGGCAAGGGCAGCTTCCAGATCCCTGTGTGCTGAGGGCCCCCAACACCACCAAGGGCCCTGTCAAGTCCCCAAACACATCACCCATCCCCATGTCTCCTCTGCTGGAAATGAAGCAGCCACATGTGGGCAGAGGCTACTGCGCCCGCTGGGCGGCCCATCTGAGTCAGCGGGAGGAACCGGCCACAGGCTCCTGGGGGAAGCCGCCTCCTGCTACCCACACAAGTCTTTCCCCGGGCTCGGGGCCTGTGCCGCCAACCCAAGAAGCGCTACCCTGCCTCCCGGCCGGGCCGCATGCCTGCCGGGGCACTCCTGGTTGTTTACTGCTTTGCAACCATCATCCAGCGTGAGGAGCACGACCTTTACCCTCAGAGGGAAACTGGAGCCCGAGGCTTTATGGCAGAAGTCCAGCCCCGTGCCAGCTCCAGTGAGAGCGGGCCCTGATGGCTCA